GAGTGAGACGGTTTGCCAGATGCCTGTGCATGGCTACGATGTTTCTTTTTCGTCAGAAAGTCTTCTCGAAAGACGTAGCATGCTTACGGTGTAAAAAATATGAGATGGGACGCGGCGCTGCTTGCCAATGGGTATGTTCCCGGCCGGGTCGTCGGTGGGGTCGAAGACGAACAGGATAAGCTCGTTAGTCGCATTTTTGGTTATGTGCGCTGTGATGTCGAACGCGAACTTGTCGTACCCACCCGTGTGGGTTCCGACCTTCACACCATTGACAAAGACCTGTCGCCTGGTAGTCGACTGCGGCAAAGTGCAACACGACATTGTCCGTAAAGGACTCGGGGATCTCGAATCCGCGACGGTACCAGCTGAACGTCGACTGCTGTGCTATACCAGAGAGTCCACTCCTACCGGGTAACGCGTCAAAATGAAAGCAAGTTCAAAAATATTGATAGATACGCACTCGATACAGAACGGTACCAATACGCGCTGGTTCAGCGTCGTGTTAACAGGAACATTGTTCACATCCCCAGAATTATTGGCGAACTGGAACTCCCAGACCCCATTTAAATTGAGCCATGTATCGCGTTTCAACTGAGGGCGCGGGTATTCTGCCCACGCGCCGTCGGGATCGGCTGCGACGCCGTCTGTCCAGCGTGTCTTCAGCTTCGGCTCAATCGCCTTGTACACCGCGTCCTTGGGATTGTCGTACGTCGGCCGGACGTCATTAATTCCCCCGTTTTTTGGAAGGGGAGTCTGCGCGCACGCAACTAAGAGGGTCTGTGAGAAGATGAACGCGATGCTGCTGTTCAGCTTCATGGTTAATTCCGTGGGACCGTGAGACGATATTTTGGACAGTGCCTTATATGTGTGGGGTTGACGCGCCGCCGAGCATTTGGAGGGGTCAGCAGATGCCCGGGACTGCATGGCGGTGGTTCTCTTCTACGATCCCGTGGACACTCGAAAGCGGAGGCGAGTGCGTAAGTCATGCGTCATTTTGATCCGATCGTGATTCGACCGCTGCGCTTTTACTACTGCTATTAGTTTTCGCCGTTCGGAGAGCTGACAGAAACCTTGGTTACCGTTGTTTAACGCTTGGCGACCCCAGAGGTAATCTCGGTTCCAGATGTTTGGGTGTGCTTCCGCTGTGCCGAAATCAAAGATCAGAGTGATGGGGCAAGCGAAATGATGAAAAAGACACACCGGAGAGCACACCCTAACGCAAGAGGCAAGCAGATCATTGATCTCGTACACAGATCAAGGCACGTGATGAACCATCCCTTGCCTAATCCGGAGTCCATCAAACCAAAGCCGTTTTCGTCGTTATTCCATGTGGTACACAAGAAAGGGTACATATAGTAGATAATAAAGTACTTCTAGTGGTAAAAAATGGTCTATGAAGAAAGGGAGCAATTTTTTCAGTGAGTATGAGTAGAATAATCCCTTTTGAGGTGATTCACGGTGGCTAGATCGAAGCCCTAGAGGCCCACAGGGGTCAGCTGTGGAGAGGCTGGCCAAGAGCTCAGGTAGGGTAGCCGGCCAGACAGAGAGCACATTGAGGAGTGTAGAGCAAACGTATAGAGTGGCGGTAAGTGGCAGGCTTCCGGATTAGGCAAGGGATTGTTCATCACGTGCCTTGATCTGTGTGCGAGATCAATGATCTGCTTGCCTCTTGCCCTAACGGGCAGTCTTCCGCCAACAAATCTCATCAAATCGCTTGCCCCGGATCAATCCGTTTTTGGTAATTATCTCCGAGTGAATGCTACTCTGTCTAAGACTCCCTATAACGGCGGGAACGAGACTACCCCAGAGGCAGAAGAGGGCAGAAGCCTCAGGAGATTGCAGACAATTTGCAACGACTCATTAGATCGCGTTGCTGATCCGCACACGCGAACAGTAGCGGCGTTGTCACCCCGCCGGGTCATATGAAGCACCGCGTTTCAATGAAAATCTATTTGGATGGAGAGGTCAGTGAGTTCGACCTCAACTCTGTTGGCTTGAAGTAACGAAGGTTGAGCACAAGAGTACCATCTAATAATGAAACAATGCCAGCCGCCGTGAAGGTTGAGACCTCGAAGTCCGGATGTTTTTGTGTCGGCTATGAAGAATTTCAATTGGGGATGTCGATCAAGAAAACGGTCGTAGGTCAAGTTCTTCTGTTCCGTTCGGTGAGTACTTGCGAACGTGTGTGAACTCACGCCCGTATGGGTTAAAGGGTTGCTGGCGAGATCACTGGCCGCCTGCTCCATAGACTTCCTGCCCTCAGCGGCGCGTTGGTCGGGGGAAACACCACCGGCCTGGAATATCAGGGTCTGTGATCATCGGCATGCCATTTCCACGCAGAAAATTATTGAGCGCCGTGGGCTGAGCTCGAGAGTCCTGGAACTGGGTCAAGGCGAGAATTTCAATCTGCCACCGGGACGAACGCGCAAGGAGATTTCTACCTGGACAGGCGTGAACTCAGAGGGAGAGGCATGCTATTTGCCGGCGGATAATTATAATGACGTTCTCGACTCACTCGAGAATCTCGAGTGCGATGATGGGAGCCAATAGAAAGACCGTGTGGGTCCATGTGGTGCTGTATTTGTGTATACCAATATTGACCACGTGTGCGCGTTGTTCGCGAATTGCGACCACAGTGAACCTTCGGCTGCAAATGCTTGCAAAGCTGGTTGGCCGGTGAAAACTTCAGGGACACGTGGATCAGTACAATTTGAGAGCTTGGTTTACCCGGACGCTGCTCCATTTTAATCCCGATCGTAACGAAGAAAAACTAAGCCATTTGCAACAGTGGATAAGTAGTCAGAAAGAAATACCAGGAAATGCCGCCTGTATATGGCGGTCAGTTGGCACTTTTAATATTCCCGGTATAATAACACGATTTCATACTATAATTGGACATTTGGCTATGAAACTGAGTGCCCCTCAAAATCTTGATGGAATCCCGCTGGACTCTAAGAAACAAATGTTCCGATATATATTTTGGAACATTCTCTCTATAAACTTTTCACTCCTCTCTAAACCTTTTGTTCAACTCTCTCTTAAAACTTTCTGCCCTCTCAAACTTTCTGCGAGCTGCTCTACAAAAAATGTTCCATCACTAGGGTTAGCACAGCCGCCGGTGATTAAAGCGGCGGAAGGATCGTCTGATCCCATTCAAGAATGATCAAAGTGGTTTGGGGCGGCACCCTTTTTGGCGGCTGGCACTGGGGCCCGGCAGTCCACCATTGATCACCGGCGGCTGTGCTAACCCTAGTGATGGAACATTTTTTGTAGAGCAGCTCGCAGAAAGTTTGAGAGGGCAGAAAGTTTGAAGAGAGAGTTGAACAAAAGGTTTAGAGAGGAGTGAAAAGTTTATAGAGAGAACATTCCAAAATATATATCGGAACATTTGTTTCTTAGAGTCCAGCGGGATTCCATCAAGATTTTGAGGGGCACTCAGTTTCATAGCCAAATGTCCAATTATAGTATGAAATCGTGTTATTATACCGGAAATATTAAAAGTGCCAACTGACCGCCATACCTGTACAATTCTCGCAAGTCGCGTAATGATACGGGATCGGTTTCTTGAAAACTTCTGCTGTACCCAGGTTCAGCTCGTCGCGGGTTGCATAGGAGGCGATTGGTGAGCAGAAAAAAAGCCGCCGGCATAGCGCGAACACGGCATGCATTAGGATCATCGTTAAAGCCTTTAAAGACAGCGAAAAAAATCAGACCTGACTTTTGGGATGAGATAGATAGGTTTGAGCATTTGTTGCAATCTATTGTGAAATTGAAACTGGTTTTTTTCTACTCAGTGGAAATAACAATGTATCGTCGGAGTTTGAGGAGACTGGACATTCTTTTTACAAAAGAACTAATTGAACTGTTCGTAAAAGGATGGCCCAAAGTATCTTTCGTTCAAAAAAACAAGCTGGCATCATTTTCAGTTCGCGCTCAGGCAGCTCAAGCATTTCGGCCTCAATTTCCGGCACTTGAAATTGAACTGGCTCCCGAGGATGATTGCACAACTGCCGCGAATTGTTGAAGAAATAAACCTAACTCTACGGATACCGGATGAGGATTTAGAATTAAGTAGTCTGGTATGAAAGTCCAGCGACCTGGTCTCGACTAGATAGCCCCCTTGTGATGATACTATCTCTTCGCAATGTCACGGTTGAAATTTGCGGTCTTTACTTGATACAGCAGGCATAAGACGAGCAGCAATTCCTTCCTCGCTGTGCCAAGAAACACATTTTCGCAGCCATAACCGGATTGCTTTTCGAGTATGCCCGCTCCTTTTGCCCCGACGCTCCCATTGGGGTTCTTGGTTTCTAGAACTTGTATGACACCGTGCCTTCGTTTCATGGTATCAAAGGACATGAAGAGCGTCTGGTCGAAGAGTCAGGGCCGGAGTAAAATTGGGGCCATTCCTGCGGATGTAAAAAAAAATAAGGACAGTCGCTATAGCTGCGCATTGCCTATCACAGGGATTTAATTTGAAAGTGCTGAGCTCAACAACTCGTTCAGACGCGGGGAGTCAAACTAGTCAAACCCGGTACTCACTATATCAAAGATATAGACCACTTAATTCGGACCGTACCCTACGTCCGATTTAGGCGTATATCTGTGGCGGGTCGATCAGCACCGTAGGAACGAGAAAACCAAAAAGAAATGGTATTCAGACGCAGGGAGTCGAACCCCGATACCCGCTGTAATCCTCTCTCACAGCCCATTCAAAGCGAGGGTGTACCGTACACCACGTCCGATTGAAGTATACTGTATATCTGTGGCAGAGGAGTGTCAGTCAGCGCAGTAAAGATGCGGGAACGAAAAGAAAGGAGAGGTCTTATTCAGACGCGGGGAGCGATACCTGCTGTAATGCAGTGCGTCACGGCCCATTCAAAGCGAGGGTGTACCGTACACCACGTCCAATTGAAGTATCTGTATATCTGCAGCAGAGTGGTCGTCAGCACCCTGAAGAAGTGGGAGGAGGTTAAAAAATCCCAGAGAAGGACTACATATTCAGACGCGGGGAGTCGAACCCCGATACCCGCTGTATACTACACGAGATCAGCCATCCAAAGCGAGGGTGTACCGTACACCACGTCCGAATGAGATATACTGTATATGTGTAGTAGAGTGTCAATCAGCATAGTAAAGATGCGGGAACGAAAAGGAAGGAGAGGTCTTATCCAGACGCGGGGAGTCGAACCCCGACACCCGCTGTATACAACCAACGGCATCGGCCATCCAAAGCGAGGGTGTACAGTACACCACGTCCGATCGAAGTATAGTCTATATCTGCGGCAGAGTGTCAGTGTCAGTCAGCACCGCAAAGATGTGGGAACAGGAACGAGAAGAAGAAACCAAGAGAGCCCTTATTCAGACGTGCCGGATACCCGCTGTACAATATCCACCGATATTGCATGGTTCAAAGCAAGGGTGTACGATGCACCACTTCTGACTGGAATGTATATCTGCGGCAGGGTGTTGACCGCACATCTATAGAGAAGGTAGCAACGAAATGGGACAAAATACACTGCAAGACATATAAAGCGGACGCTGGGAGTCGAACCCCCAATTTTCGCAAACATGCGGAACGGGGCTGTCTCGGTAACCCAGACGTTCGGTGACACTTCCACAACACAGCAGACCTAGCGGACCGCTTGATCCGTGATTGACAGTCGGAGTTGAAAAAGAAGTGCAGAAGTGTCACCAGAACGTCTGGGGCAGCAGGCTCCTACACAGCCGCGGTTTCGAGGATAACAATCTGAGTAGGAAGGTTACACAGTGAATACAGAGATTGAGTTACGGAAATTTCGGACCGTATGATGTGTGACTGATGTGACTTCAAGTTGGTGGGTTATCCTCTCCACTGCTCAGCGCTCAGCTTACAAGAACGATGGCATGGTCTTGATTGAGTCTTCGACTCTGCACCTTCCTCCGACGCAATATACCTCTTGTCTGCTCCGCCCTTTTACAACTCGTTATTACCTCCTTGGTCAACTCGAGGCCCGGCGCGATCCGGGACGACCCGACGATACCCACCACTCTGCACGGCTGGCGACTAAGCTCGATTCCAGTGGTGGATCTAGATCTCTCCCGCGCCGCGATGACGAGGGACCGTCATCTCCTTCCCCGAAAACCCCCAACGCAAACCCTCGGTCATCTCGCCTGGTTCTCTCAGGTCTCTGCGCGCCGTGAAGCCCTGACCCGCGGACTTTCACGCACCGCCCGCCGCGGTGCAATTCTGGCTCTACGCCTGGATGCGTACCGCGTCCTTACAGCATCTCCGCGCCGACACCAAATGCGTACTCCATCCACGGCCCTCTTGCCACTGCGGCTAGCCGTTCCTACGCCTTGGATTGCATCACCGGGCGCAGCCTCGTGCATAAAGAACATGTAGACGCCGCTTGTATGGCAAGATCTCGCACATTCCCGCTCACGACTTCATGTGTGACGATGCCTTCAGTGCGGAGTAGAGCGACTTCGCCAGCGTCTGGGTTGTCGCGACGGCGCCCTGGGCGTTGCCTGCAGGGTACGAGATCCGAGGGAGCGGAGAGAGTCATCGACCTCATATTGGCTTTCCCCGCGATCGCCATCTCTCCCAGCCGGACGAGCGGGTGCCGCTTCTGATCCTCGTCTACTTCACCCTCCGTCTCGGTGCACTGTGTCGTCGAAGACGTTCCTGCGGAGAACCTCCATACAATGCCACGATTGCCCGACGACCCAAGCCTTCGGCGCTTGCTCCCGCCTTCCCGATGCTCATATGCGGCTCGACCAGTGACCACCCACCGTCCCCGCTCACTCCCGGATCGACACAGGCGACGAGGACCAGGGACGTAGGCGTTCGCCGCGCTAGCCCGATAACACGACTTCCTCCGACGTCGAGCACCTTGATGGCTAACTTACCCTGCTCACCACTCACGCCTGGTTATGAAGTCAGCGCCAACGACACTGCGGTATTGACAACGGTCTCTCTGCAGTTTTTGCGACGCTTATTCCCTCCGGGACAAGTACTCTCCGCCTTTGGTGCGTGCTGTCGCCCCTGTGAAGTCTTCTCGATGCTGATATCTTTCCTCCGCTCAGGCTCGACGATGAGGAGGAGGTTGCGCCGAGGAGCAGATAGAGAGCCTCGCGCGGAGGATTGGGACGTGGATGGTCGTGAGGTTGATGAAACGAGGACGGGTGCGGAGCCGACGCAGCTTTTGCACGTCGGTCTCCGTGCACATCGTCGCGCATCCTCAGCTTGTACCGGCCCTTCGCCTCCGCGCCCGTGCTCCATGCCTGCGCGGCTTTCGTTGCCCTCCCTTCGATACTGCATTCCCCCACCTCGTCGGCGCCGCTCTCCCAACTCTCCACTCCCACCCTCGCGCGCCTTCTCTGCCTGCGTGCTGGGAGTACCACATTAAAGCAGTGCCTACGACGACGGCATGTGACTCGAGTGACCGAGTAAAGGATGACCGGCCAGCGTACAGGCCCTCGCTGCGACTGCCCGTCTCCTCCTTCCTCTTTCTCTCCTCCCGCCCGGCACTATCTCCCAACAGCCTCGCATACGACGCCCGCGCCGCCACACCGACGTGCTCATGTACGCCTGGACAGTCGCCGTTTCCGCTGACGGCCGCAGATATTGATCGACTCACGATCATCGTCCACATCCTGGCGTTTCCGCCCGCAACTCGTGCCGCCGGCTCCCCTCTCTACGTTGCGTCTTCCGCCACTTGCTAGCACATCAGAGCAGAGTGTTTGCGCCCCGTGCAGCTGCGCTGGCCCCGCAAGCGTATGCCTATGCACACGCCCCGCTTCGATGAAAGTGCTTGCCTTGGAGCTATCCAGCGCGCAGGCGCGGGAGGGCGACTTGTACATGTGTCGCCTTTCCAGTACGTGCGGTATCGCCGAGCCGAGCCTTCGATCCCGGTCTACGCCCCATGTCGAGCCGAGGCGGGTGTGGCGGAATCCCGTGTTGCCCTTCCCATCCGGACTCTCCGGCATGCCCCTCGCGGCGGCGGAGTACGAAAAGCACGGCCGGGAAGGTGGGCCTGCGGACGATTAAGCGCCTTCTGCGACCGCCAGTGAGCACATCTGCCGGTAACCCGCATCCTTGTACCTCGACGCCCTCCGCGCTATCCCTTCGTGACCGCCTCCTGTTCTCCCTGCCCTTGCTACTGAGCCCCGGACACTACTCCGTGAGGTGTACACTGGCAACGACTCACTTGATTGCTCGAGCCGCTCGCACTTTTTTGCCCGAATACTTCAGGCGCAAGCAAATGCCACTCGACATCATCGGCGACCCACCCCAACCTGCCCACGTCGTTGCAGGCAGGCCATAGTCGCCCCGCTTCGCCGCCGACTTGCTGAGGCGACGACACCAAGAATCGCGTCAACGAATCCATGCCCTTCGCCCGCAGCCATTCCCCTCGTATGCACCGCACCGGGTGGCTCCGCGCACGTTGCGTACGGTGTGCACTGTATAGCTTGATCGCATTTTTGTACTACTGTATCGCTCGTCGAGTGTCCGCCGCAGAGGGCTCCTTGCCTGTCCTCCTTCATGCTGGAGCAATATTTGTGACGATGTCTATGGCAGCTTATTCGCGAGACCGCGAATTAGTCTCGAAACCGGAAGACCCTGATGTAGACGTAGTTTTGAGCTCTGTGATTATCGCGCCCCACATTCTACTACCTCCTTTGTATACACGAGCAAAGCAAACCTATTGATAGTGCAGAAGAAGATCACCACATTCTACACATGTCGGACTTGTCAGCGCTTAACCACAACTCTCACCGATGTACACACAGCGCGGGCTGATTACTTCTCAGACTCCGCCGAGCAACCGAGGGCGCAGAGGTACGGTGAACTTCGTTATAAATGCAGATGAGCCGTTGAACGATGCGCGAAGGCGCGGCCCACGGCGTACAATCAGCCGGGACACCAACGCTCGGCGATTTACATGCTCTCGTCGTCGGACTAGAAATACGCATGGCAGTGCAGGAGAACAAAATCGCAGTGCAGGAGAACAACATCGCGGCCCTTGAGCAGGAGAACTCGAAGCTATGGCAGGAGAACTCGGAGCTATGGCAGGAAATACATCGGGTGAGCAGACTCCGACTTGAGTACTTTCAACGGAATATTTACATTAAGCCTCCAGCTGAAAGGACCACGATTACCTCTCGAAATATTCTCTCTGATTGTTAATTCAGCTCGGGATGATAAGAAGGCACTCGAGACTTTCTCATTGGTATGCAGGAGCTGGATGTGCATCACACGCGAGATTGTGTTCGCCAGAATACCGCTGGATGTGATGCAGCTGCAGGTGATGCGCTGGGGCGGCGGGCACGGGCTCTTACCGCTCCTAGACGATCCGCGATGCACTCTCTTTCCGCACGTACGAGCACTTGATATTGGCATGGAGGATGGAACAATATTTATCCAGGGAGACGACTATGGCGAATACGACGATAGCGAAGATGACGATGACGGCGAAAAGCCGATGACCGCGGCGGCCTGGCTCGACCATTTCCTCCTCCATATCGGCAAATTTACCGCCCTGTCATCATTGAAGCTTCACATAAACTACACGGTTAGCTCAGGCTATTTGGACGCCATCGCCGGTGCCATGCCACTGACCTCGAAAGGAGCTATTCGGGAACTCGAGATAGACCAACCCTCAGGCGTCAGAATGTCGGCCTTGGCGTCTTTTATATCCCACTTTACGAATCTCACGACGCTCACCTGTGGAGAATTGTACAACGTCTCTGAGTATGATGATGGGACAGTCCTACTCGACACAAACGAAGTGTTGCCCCCCCCCTCCCTCAAGCATCACGAAGCTAGTCTTTACGCACTTGCCGGGCCGACCAGCACACACTGTCCTGAAGTGGTTCACCGATCTCCATACTGGTGATATTGAATCATTGGTTGCATACGATCTACAAACAAAACATCCGGTGGAGTTCAGACATTTCATTGATTGCTTTGGGAGGTCTCTGTGCGAGCTCGGGATGTCGTTTTATACGGGCACCGACAATATAGGTAGGTTGATGGATACACCTCACATCCAGGACTAGCCGACTGATACTCTTTGCAGTTCCTCTTTGGGACTCGCCATATCTT